CCAAGGAGGGGTGGCCTAGACGGTGGTGCCACAGGAGAGTCTCGTGAGACAGGAGGCGACAGGAACAGGGGGCAGACTCAGGACCTGACCGGGACGCAGCAGCAAACACCTGACCTGACGCAGCTACCTGACCAGACACAGGGACAGGAGGAGACGAAGTGGTCAGGGTGTAGAGACTCGACCCCGGCCGACGCGAAAAGGTGGCCAGGTGTCGGCCTGTGTCTGCGTCCGTGCAGTGGGTCACCCGCCGCCTCGCAGGAGTGAACTGGTGAACCCCCGCATCCTGTAGGTCCGCACCACTCACCAAGTTCGTAGAGAACGAGGGAAGGTACAGACCAGACAGGGTGCCCGAAGGGGCAGCCGGACACGGGAGGACAGTGGAGAAGTGAGACAGGACAGGACCCCCAGAGGGGTCAGCAAGGGAGACCGCAACCGGTCGGCCAAGTGGCGTGAGGGTAGTGCGCTCTCGAAAGAAGGAGCGAGAAGCCCCAGAGTCAAGTGTGAAAGTGAGGGAGGACGAGGGCGACGCAGTACCTGAGAGCGCAGTCTCACCAGCACCTGAGAGCGCAGTCTCACTAGTACCTGAGAGCGCAGACGCACTGGCACCTAGAGCAGCAGCCTCACAAGTACCTAGGGCAGCAGTACCAATGCCCGGGTCGGGCTGGAAACACCGGTAACCCTCATTCTCCTCACTATAAGTCACAGCATACATAGCAGAAAGGATAGCATCAAAATCAAGATCAAAGATCGCTACACCAGCCCTAAGGAGCTCATCCCAGCGAGGGATCTCACTAGCCCCGGGGAACTGCTGACGCCAAGCGTCCGTCAGGCGGCCAAAGCAGCGCTGGGTGGAGTGGGCACCCCCACACTGCTCACCCGCGCGGTCGCCGGAACGAAGAACGTAGGCGCAGGGACCAGTACCCCCACCCCTCTGACGTGCAGTGTACCACTCACGAAGCTGCTGAGGCGGAGGGATGTCCCGCGAACGCTGCTGCTGCTGCCGCTGCGAGCGCTGGCCACCACCACCGCCGCTCCGCTGCTGGGTACCACCACGACCAGCTCCACCTCCTCCACCACCACCGCCTCCTCCGCCGCCGCCTCCACCGCCTCCACCTCCACCGCCTCCACCTCCACCGCCTCCACTCCCGCTGCTGCCTCCACCACCACCGGTGCCACCACCACCACCGTCTCCGCCGCTGCTGCCACCACCACCACCACCACTACCACTACTCCCGCTGCCACCCCCACTCCCTCCGCCGCCTCCGCCGCCACCACCACCGCCCCCTCCAGCTCCGCCCGCGCCCTTGCCCCCCTTGCCCTTGCCAGAGCGACGTCTCCCACTAGGGGCAGACGCCGCGCCGACCGACTCAAGACCAAGCAGGTCGGCCGCAGCAGCAGAGGCAACAGAGGGCAGCAAGGGGGAAGGAGAGCACCCCTCAAAGATGGGGGTGCGAGGGTCACCACGAGAGGCACCGACAGCGACTATGCTCTTCTCCGCTGCGAGGAGGGCCTTCTCGAGGAGGTCGACGGTGAGAGTGGTGGGACAGACTGCGAGAAAGTGGTCCCTGACTACGCGGAGGGAGTCAGGGAGGCGTGCGACTACGTAGTAGAGAGTGATGTACATGGGGGGGGGGGTTCTTAGCGCAGAACTCAGCAGGAAGGGCGGCGCGGTAGCGAGTGTCACTAGTGCGGAGGTGCGTAATGAGGTCAGCGACAGTGGGAAAGGCAGAGAGGTCAGGAAAGAGGTAGGGAAGCATGAGACGGCTCAGTGCAGCAGTGGCAGGAGAGGAGTAGCGTGCAACTACAGCGTCGTACAAGGTCTGAGCACTCTTGTACTGACTAAAATGCGCACGCTCAGAGGTAGGGAGGTGGCGACGCACAGCAAGACGTGCAGCAGCATCGCGGGTGGCCCACTGAGAGCGGACAGTGGGATCAGCATCGGCAGCAGGAGCAGGAGAGGCGCCAGAGGTGAGGTCAAAGAGAGAAAGGCTGTCAGCTCTGTCGCACTGTAGAAAAGCTGCAGGTCATCTAGCCAGACCTCAAAATCAATGGCGCGACCCTCGGCGTCAAAGGCTAGGACACTAGGGGTGGCCATGATGACGACAGCGAAGCAGTGCAAGCAGTAGGGAAAGAGGGCGCAGTGACAGAGGGACTGTGCTCACCAGGCAGGGCAGGCCGTGCAGCCCGACAGAAAAGCAGAGCGGCGACCGGGCGGCTCGGGTGTACAGCTGCTCAGCTCCCGGGCGGCTCGGCGGCAGGGCGGCTCGGGTGCAGGGCGGCTCGGCTCCCGGGCGGCTCGGCGACTGACGGCTCGGGTGCAGGGCGACTCGGCTCCCGGGCGGCTCGGCGACTGGGCGGCTCGGCTGCCCGGCCGCCCGACTGCTGCAGGTGAGGCGGCGGGGTCGCGTAAGAGAACCGGGGCGGGGCCGCGAAGGGGCCGGCGGTAGGGCCGCGTAGGAGCCGGGGCAGGGCCGCGTTGGAGCCGGCGGCAGGGCCGGCGGTAGGGCCGGCTTAGGAGCCGGGGTAGGGCCGCGTTGGAGCCGGTGGCAGGGCCGCGCAGGGGTCGGCGCAGGGCCGAGCAGAGGCCGGCGGCAGGGCCGCGTAAGGAGCCGGCGGACAGGGCCGTGAAGGAGCCGGGACGGGGCCGCGTGAGAGCCGGCGCGGGGCCGAGTAGGAGCCGGCGGCGGGGCCGCGTAGGAGCCGGGGCAGGGCCGCGTAGGAGGCCGGCGCGGGGCCGCGTAAGGGGCCGGCGCGGGGCCGCGTAAGGGGCCGGCGGCGGGGCCGCGTAAGGGGCCGGCGGACAGGGCCGCGTAGGAGCCGGGGCGGGGCCGCAATGGAGCCGGTGGCGGGGCCGAGTAGGAGCCGGGGACGGGGCCGCGTAGGAGCCGGCGCGGGGCCGCTTAGGAGCCGGCGCGGGGCCGCGTAAGGGCCGCGTAAGGGGCCGGCGCGGGGCCGCGTAAGGAGCAGGCGGCGGGGCCGCGTAAGGGTCAGGGCGGGGCCGCGACAGAGTGGGCGGCGAGGCCGCAGGGGAGAGGGCGACTCGAGGGGTCGCTAAAAAAAAAACCGCGCCTCGGGGCGCGCTTCGGTGGGCCCAAAAAAAATCGGTCCTGGAGGGACCTAGCTCTATACCATGTGAAACAATGAGAAGAGGAATGAAAATGACTAAGTCAGAAATTGGTACAAATAACAAACCCTAGGAATCTGTACCCCATATGTGCTACCCCATTACAGCCTACAAACATGTATCAGCTATAATGTTCTGACAGTCGGTGCCAATCAGGTAGCAGCACCATATTTTGAATGCGTGGATAATGACTAGCATTTCTTTGTTATGGATAGGGTAGTTGCGTTTGGCTATCGGCAGCTTGCGGCACTCGAAGGCGACTGGTTGAAGGTTGTTGTCAAAATCCTGCAGCAACATGACATAGATGACGAAATGTGGGAGGCATCAAAAATTACTTTTGTTGATAACAAAAATATTTTCTGTATTTCAATTAGTCGATTTCACTTTATACACGATTCTCAAGATTAGATAATTCTTGGAGTTGAAGCGGAACTCGGCTTCCAGCTGTCGAGACGAAGTCAACAAAGTCTCGACCAATAGGAGTTGCGGATGTTGTCAAACTATCATAATGTGTAGGCTGTAGTGGGGTAGCCCATAAGGGGTACAACCCAATTCGGGTTAGTACTTGTACCAACTTCGTACTCAATGCACTCATTCCCGTTCAGTGACATGGTTTCAGAGGAGGTCCTGTCCCAGGACCGTTTTTTTTTTAGGGCCCACTGTATAGTTCGCTGCCCGTAGCGCGTTACCCTACCCGTAGCGCCCTACCTGCCTGTCGCGCTACCCACCAGTCGCGCTGCCTTGCCCTGCCCGTCGCGCGCCGCCCTGCCTTGCCCAGCGCGCCGCCCTGCTAATCGCGCGCTGCCCTGCCTGCCCGTCACGCCGCCCTGTTGGTCGCGCGCCGCCCTCCCTTGCCCGTCGCGTTGCCTTGCTAGCGCTGCACCGCCCTGCCTTGCCCGCGCGCCGCCCTGCAGGCCGCCGCGCTGCCCTGCCCTGCCCGTCGCGCCACCCTGCTGGCCGCACACTGCCCTGCCTGCCCATCGCGCCGCCTTGTTGATCGCGCGCCGCCCTGCCTGCCCGTCGCGCTGCCCTACTAGCGCCGCGCCGCCCTACCTTGCCCGCACGCCACCCTGCAGGTCGCTGCGCCGCTCTGACTTGCCTGTCGCGCTGCCCTGCAAGCCGCCGCGCTGCCATGCTGGCCGCGCGCCGCCCTGCCCTGCCTGCACGCTGCCCGGCTGGCCGCCGCACCGCCCTACCCTGCCCGCGCGCCGCTCTGCCCTACCCTGCCCGCGCGCCGCCCTGCTGGCCGCCGCCCTGCCCTGTCAGTTGCGCCGCCCTGCCCTAGCCGTGCGCCGCACCGCCCTGCCCTGCACGCTTCCCTAGCGCTTATGCACTGCCTTGCCCGTCGCGCCGTCCTTGCTTGCGCGCTGCCCTGCTGCTCGCGTGCTAACCTGCTCTGCCTGCTATGGCTACTCTCGGAGATCTCACTATAAATCATGAGGGCCATCCGATCCAGTTCGATACGTGGCTTGATGACTTACAGCTGTACCTACTAAGCGATTCTAGAGACAGCATTTCGTTGTTTGACCACACGTTTGGAGCCTCTCTCGCCCCTCCCGACACAGCTGACAGTGCGACTCGCTCACAGTGGCTTACCCGTGTCGCTGCTGCTCGCTTAGCCGTTCGCAACCACTTACCGTTAGCCGAACGTGCTCACTTTGGTCAGCATAAGACTTATAAAGCCCTGTCCGACGCTGTAGTCGCTCGTTACTCTTCCCCTGCCACTGCTGCTCTCGGCCGCCTTATACTGCCCTACCTTTTTCCCGAGCTGTCCGCCTTTGCCACAGTCGACGACCTAGTCACCCACCTTCGCACCAGTGACACTCGCTACCGCGTCGCGCTTACCACCAAGTTTCTAGAAAAGAACCCCCCCCTTATGTACATCGCTCCCTACTTCATAGTCACTCACCTCCCTCACTCTCTTAGCGCAGTCAAGGACCTCTTTCTTGCCATGGACCCCACATACCTCACCGTCGACCTGCTCGAGAAGCACCTCCTTGCAGCTGAGACTAGCATAGTCGCTGTAGGTGCTGCTCACACTCCCTTCTTTGAGGGGTGTTCCCCCTCCCCCCTTGCCCCCTCCTACGCTTCTGTTGCTGCTGTTGACTTCCTTCGTGCTGAGGAGGTCGGGGCTGCGTTTGCTCCTAGTGGGAGGCACCGTAGCGGCAGGGGCAAGGGAGGCAAGGGTGGTGGGGGTGGCAGCGGTGGAGGTGATGGTGGAGGCGGTGGAGGCGGTGGAGGTGGTGGTGGAGGCGGTGGAGGCGGTCGAGGTGGCGGTGGTGGCGGAGGGGGGTGGTGGTGGGAGTGGAGGCGTTGGTGGCGGCGGTGGTGGCGGCAGTGGGAGTGGTAGCGGCGGCACTGGTGGCGGTAGTGGGAGTGGTGGCGGCGGCGGTGGTGGCGGCCGGGGTGGAACCAGTCAAAGGGGAGGTTTTGGCGGTGGTCAGAGGCAGCAGCAGCAACAGCGTACGCGTGAGACCCCTATGCCTCAGGAGCTTTGTGAGTGGTTTGCTCAGCGTGGGCGTATAGGGGTAGTGTTCGCTGCAAGTACGTCATTCGCACAGGTGACCGAGCTGGTCAGACATGCGGGAAGGTTGGTCACACATAGTCCCGCTGCTTCTCCCGTCTTGACGACTCCTGACGCGCAGAGTTTCCCAACGCGACTAAGCTCCTCCGCTGGCTGCAACTTCTTAGGCAAGGTGTGGATAACTTTGCTCTTGACTATGATGCTATCCTTGCTGCCATGTATGTTTTGACTGTTAGTGCTGAGGGTGACTGTTACCTGTGTGTGCCGTCCGACCCATGTATAGAGGCTGCTGCTGTAGGTGCTAGTAAGTCTGCTCTCCATGGTACTGCGCCTGCTGAGGCCTTGCACACCTTCACGCTTGACTCAAATGCTTCCCGCTGTTTCTTTCTCGACAGTACCACACTCACACCACTCCCTGCACCGGTTGCAGTCAGACTGGCTCACCCCTCCGGGGGCCCAGTTCTTGCACATTTCACCACTGTTCTCCCGTGTCCAGCGGTCCCGTCTGGCTTACTGTCAGGTCTTCACCTCCCCTCGTTTTCTACGAACTTGGTGAGTACCGCTGCCCTCCAAGATGCGATGGTCACTACCACCACTCTTGGGGGTCAGCGTGTGTCGATCCGCATGTATATACGGACGGGCCGTCACCTGGCCACATTCACCCGTCGGCCTGGGTCGAGTCTGTACACACTGACTACTGAGCCTCCTCAGGTAGCTGCGTCTGCGTCCGCGTCAGGTCAGCTAGCAGCCCCCTGTTTGTGTCACCTCATGTCACACCGGACTCTCCTTTGGCACCACTCCCTTGGTCACCCCTCCCTGCCACGCCTCCGTTTTTTTTTTTTTTTTTTTCATCATGAATATATCTGAATTCACCAAGAAGCAAGCGTATAAGAGATATATGTCAGACGTAACTGGTCGTGAGAGGCCAAACCCCAGTGGTGAACCCATGTGAAGCTTCTAAGGCGGATGCAAGGCCCCTCTTTGTGAAAGCAAAGAACGAGAATGAATGACTAAGGAATGGAAGTGATACAAATATGCAACCCTAATTGTGTTGAACCCCTTATGGGATACCCCACTATAGCCTACAGAAACAAGTAAGCTATATGTTCTGACACACCCCCATAGGCGAAGTGGGGGAGAACAAGGGGTCACAAGACCAGTCAAGCAAACCAAAGCAAAGCTCAGGGTGGATCACAAAGTCACCACGCATTCCGAGCACAAGTTCAAAGGCCAGAAGGCCAGTTCACATGCAAGATCATATATAGAGATATACAAGAGTCAAGCATGCAAGAGCAAGAGTATATATAGGCGAAGGTACAAGCAAGGTCAAGAGGAGAGCAAGTGAGGCAAGACAGGCACAAGACCCAACTGCGTGCAACAACGCTGATGATCACAAGGCGCAAGTGCCTTGGTGAAGACATCAGCAGTGTTGGCCTCAGAGGCCACGTACGCAAGTCGCAACTGTCCACGCTGCTGTAGCTCACGAGCAAGAAAGTAGCGGAGAGCAATGTGCTTCGTTCTGTGCTCCAGTCGCTGCTCTCGACACAAGGCCAGCATGGCCTTGTTGTCTACGTACAGGACTGGAGGAGAACGAGGCTGCTCTCCAAGGTCGGTCAGCAGGTAGGTGAGCCAGCGTAACTCCTGTGCAGCCATAGCCCCAGCGTAGATCTCAGCCTCACAACTGGAGCCGAGAACAGAAGACGAGCGGGTAGCCCGCCACGAGACAGAGCCGGAACCAAGGCTGAAGGTGTAACCCTGTGACGACCGCTGCGTAGCCTGGTCGTCAGCCCAAGAAGCGTCTGCGTGCCCAGTGAGGACTACTGGACTGCGCCCTCCAAGCACTAGCCCCATGCCCGACGTACTGCACAAGTAGCGCAACACCCTCTTCGCTGCAGCCATGTGCTCTGGTCGGTGTCTCCCAGGAGCAACAAAGCGTGCGAGAATGCTAAGAGGGTATGCGAGGTCAAGTCGTGTGCAGGTCATCAGGTACATGAGGCAGCCAACAAGCTCTGCAAACGGGCCACTCGACTCTACGGACTCATCCGAAGGCAGAGCTGAGAGCGAGTGGCGAGTAGGCAGAGGAGTGGCCTGAGGCGAGGAGTACGTGAAGCCGAAGCGCTGAAGGACCTGCTGCACCATGTGTGACTGAGTCAGGGTAATGGTGCGGCGTGCTCTGTCCCGGGTGATCTGCAAGCCAAGGTAGCTGCGCAGTTCACCCAGGTCAGTGCACGTGTGTCTCTTCTGCAGCTCGGACTTCACGTAGGCGAGTCCAGCAGTGTCAGCTGTGGCAAAGACCAAGTCGTCGACGTACACGAGGATGTAGAACGGCGGCAGAGAGGTGTCGGTGCGCAGAAACAGCGACGGGTCGGCAGTAGAAGGAGCAAACCCAAGTGCCGCGAGCGTAGTCCTCAGTGTGTCGTGCCACTCACGTGGCGCCTGGCGGAGACCGTAGACTGGACGCCGGAGACTCCACTGGGTACCAGGAGGGAAAGACCCAGTGAAGCCAGGTGGGCGACGCAGCCAGATCTCCTCGTGCAGACTGCCCTGCAAGAAAGCTGTGCTGAAGTCGAGAGAGTGCAGCTCGTAGTCACGGTGAGCAGCAACGTGCAGCAGAACCCGAAGAGTGGTCATCTTCGGGGTGGGGGAGAAGGTCTGAAAGTAGTCAACCCCCTGCCGCTGACTGAAGCCACGAGCCACGTAACGCGCCTTGAAGACAGGCGGAGAACCCGGCGGCCGCTTCACCCTGAAAATCCACATGCCACTGACGATGTTCGCCCCAGGAGGGGGAACAGCGTCAACGTAGGTGCCTGTGGACTTCCAGGAAGCCATCTCTGCATCCATAGCTGCCTGCCACTGAGAGGAGTAGGGACCCTCTATCGCCTCCGCGTAAGAGCGCGGAGTCGGGATGTCTGGTGCATCCGGGTCTCCCTCAGGGGCTAGCAGTACAGACGCGAGACGAGGTGAAGCGGCGGCCAGACACTGGAACTCCTCCTGCCTGTCCTCAAGGACGTCCGTGCCAAGGGCACACTCACCCCCGACGGACGGAGGACAGGCGGACGCAGACTCAGTGACAAGACGAGCAGCGTAGTCTAGACGACAGCGCGCAGCAAATTCGACAAGCTCAGTGACAAGGGCAGACGCAGCAGACGACTCGAAGGAAGGGTCAGTGACAGCAGTAGCAAGGAGACGCGTGACAGTAGGACTGGCAGCACGAAGAGAGTCCGACTCCGGGTCGGCAAGAGCAGGAAGAGAGGAAGCAGGAGGAGAAGGCAAAGGGGCACGCAGAGGAGCAGTGGACGGACGCAGTGACATCCGGTGCGTGCCAGGGACAGGAGGAGGACGCTGACGCGACCCGCGACCACTAGCGCGCTCAGTACGAACAGGCGACACAGGACGAGACGCAGGCTCACGACGCTCAGTAAGACCTCCAGTCGGACCAGTGTAGGGAGAAGGAGCAGGCAAAGGGGAGGCAGGCTGTAGCTGTGGCTGTGACCGGACAGGCTGCGGACCCTCTAAGGGAGGAGGAGGAGGAGGTGGAAGACCAAGAACCTGCTGCAGGAGCGGAACGAAGTACGGTCGGGGCCGCGCGGCGACACTAGAAACAGCAGGAACAGCACCAGCAGCCCCGGCAGGAGCACCCACTCCAGCAGCACCTCCAGCAGCACCACAAGAAGCTCCAGAATCTCCAGCAGCAGCACCAGGAGCACTGTCAGTCGGACCGCCAACGGCAGGCTCAGCGCCAACACCCTCAGCAGTACCAGCTCCAGGAGAACTCTCAGACCCAGCAGCTCCAGCACCCACAGCACGAGCACCGGCGGGACGCGCGGCAGCAGTACCCTCTGCAGCCGAAGAACCACCAGCACCAGCATCACGCCTCCAGCGCCTGGCAAACCACTCACGCAGCTCCTGTGGGGAGAGTGGCTCCCGGCGAGACGAAGCACCCCCAGGCACAGCACCCCCAGGCTCAGCACCCCCAGGCTCAGCACCCCCAGGCACAGCACCCCCAGGCTCGGCACCTCCAGGCTCAGCACCCCCAGGTACAGCACCCCCAGGCGCAGCACCCCCAGGCTCAGCACCCCTAGGCACAGCACCCCCAGGCACAGCACCCCCAGGCTCGGCACCTCCAGGCTCAGCACCCCCAGGCTCAGCACCCCCAGGCTCAGCACCCCCAGACTCCGCACCCCCAGGCTCAGCTCCCGCAGCAGCACCAGAGTCACCAGTGACCTCGACAGGCTCGACCGCGTCTACCTGGGACACACCTGAAGGGGCAGGACCCTGAGGGGGGAGGGGGACTACCGGGGGGGGACCTGGTACCAAGAAGAGCGGGGGTGGGGGGAGGGACGGAGTGCGGTAGGGGAAGAGGCGGTAGTAGGGTACCGACTCGTCGAACGTGACGTCCTGGGAGGACAGAACACGTCGAGAGGTGGGGTGGTAAAACTGCCACCCAGGGGCGTCGGGGGGGAACCCCAGGAAGACGCAGGGAGAAGCACGAGGGGACAGCTTGTCCGTAGACAGGTCGCGAACAAACGCCCGAGATCCCTAGACCCGGAACGCCGACGCATCGCCAACCTTCCCCGTCCACAGTAGGGCTGGGGAGGTCTCCGGTCGAGAGACCCTGGGGTGGAGGTTGATCTGGTGCGCAGCGTACCTGACCGCAAACGGCCACAGAAAATGGGGAGCAGCCGCATGCATCATGGACGTACGAGCGACGTCCATGACCATGCCAATGCGGCGCTCAGCAATCCCATTCTGCTGTGGTGAGTCCGGAAGCGTGAAGGTCTGACGGATGCCTCGTGCACGACAGTAGGCACTCAGGAGGCCAGAGGAGAACTCTCCGCCTCTGTCCGAGTGCAGACGCAAAACAGGGAAGTCAGAGCCAAAGCTCCTCCGAAGCTGGAGACGAGCTGCGCGGATCCAGTCGATCAACACCTCAGTGACCTCACCCTTGCTGCGCAAGGGGAAGACCGTGGTGTAACGCGAGTAGTCGTCAACCACCAGCAGGAAGTAGCGCTCCTGACCCTGTCCACAGACGCGGGCTGGGCCCCACACGTCCATGTGAAGGGTCTGCAACGGGGCCTCTG